GCTTGCACAAGTGCTCGGTGTTTGCACGGGCATTGCCCAGCTTGCACAAGTTCCCTGGAGCTTGCACAAGTGCTCGGTGTTTGCACGGGCATTGCTCAGCTTGCACAAGTGCCCTGGAGCTTGCACAAGTGCTCGGTGTTTGCACGTGCATTGCCCAGCTTGCACAAGTGCCCTGGAGCTTGCACAAGGGCTCGGGGCTTGCACGGGCATTGCCCAGCTTGCACAAGTGCCCTGGTGCTTGCACAAGGGCTCGGTGTTTGCACGGGCATTGCCCAGCTTGCACAAGTGCCCTGGTGCTTGCACAAGTGCTCGGTTTTTGCACAAGTGCTCGGTGTTTGCATGGGCATTGCTCAGCTTGCACAAGTGCCCTGGTGCTTGCACAAGTGCTCGGTGTTTGCACGGGCATTGCCCAGCTTGCACAAGTGCCCTGGTGCTTGCACAAGGGCTCGGTGTTTGCACAAGTGCTCGGTGTTTGCATGGGCATTGCCCAGCTTGCACAAGTGCCCTGGTGCTTGCACAAGTGCTCGGGGCTTGCACGGGCACCGCCCAGCTTGCACAGGGCTCCCGGTGCTCCCATTGGCACCCTGCCCTTGCAGCACCCAACACTCACAGGGCACCCAGGCCCTTGCCCAGACCCCGGCGCCCCCACCTCCCCCCCGCCGCGGGGCTGGCCGGGGGCCCCGCTGCCCCGCACCCCCGCCGTGCCCGCGTCCCCACCTTGCGGATGGGCGCGTCGGGGCGGGCGCCGCTGCGCAGCGCCAGCGCCAGCCCGAAGTCGCCGATGGCGCAGGAGCCGTCGTCGCGCACCAGCACGTTGCGGCTGCTCAGGTCGCGGTGCGCCACGCTCGGCTTGTAGAGGCCTGGGGCCGGGGCGTGAGCGGCGCGGTGCCCGCGGGGCGCCCGCCGCGCCGTGCCGTGCCCGCGCTCACCGTCGCGCCACAGCTCCTGGTGCAGGAAGGCCAGGCCGCGCGCCAGCGAGAGTGCCAGGCGCAGGCTGCCCGCCCACGTGCCCACGTGCTGCCGCAGGAAGCGCCGCAGGGAGCCCTGCGGACACGGCGGGGCGCGTGGCGCGCGGGAACGGGGCGCCCGCGGGTGCACGGAGCACCCATTGCGCCCTGCGGCACCCAGGGCACATGCAGGGGCACCCACTGCTCCCATTGCACCCATGTAGCACCCCACGCACATGCAGGAGCACCCGGAGCACCCATTGCACCCATTGCACCCTGCGGCACCCAGGGCACGTGCAGGGGCACCCACTGCACCCATTGCACCCATGTAGCACCCCATGCACACGCAGGAGTTCCCACTGCACCCATTGCACCCTGCAGCACCCCAATCTGGAAGGAGTTCCCACTGCACCCATTGCACCCTGCGGCACCCAGGGCACATGCAGGAGCACCCGGAGCACCCATTGCACCCATTGCGCCCTGCGGCACCCAGGGCACGTGCAGGGGCACCCACTGCACCCATTGCACCCATGTAGCACCCCACGCACACGCAGGAGCACCCAGAGCACCCATTGCAGCCCATGCACATGAAGGAGTTCCCACTGCACCCATTGCACCCTGCGGCACCCAGGGCACATGCAGGGGCACCCACTGCACCCATTGCACCCATGTAGCACCCCACACACACGCAGGAGCACCCGGAGCACCCATTGCACCCCATGCACACGCAGGAGTTCCCACCGCACCCATTGCACCCTGCAGCACCCCACGCACACGCAGGAGCACTGGAGCACCCATCGCACCCCATGCACATGCAGGGGCACCCGAAGCCCTCGTTGCACCCTCGCCCCGCGGGCACTCACGGCCGGGTAGAGCTGCAGCAGCAGCAGGCCGCCGCGGGCGCGGGGCCCGGCGCGCCGCGCGCCCAGCAGCC